CCGAGCCAAGGGCTAACCCACCACATACAATTATTTAAGACCTAAACAATCTTCCATACAATGAGAATTTAAAATACATTTATCTTAATATTCTAGTACTAATGACTAAATGAAAATGTGGGGGGGATTATAATGCAGTCATGTTACACAAATCCTGTCCACGATGTAGTGAGAACCTACACAGTAATTTTATCTGTCTAAATAAACCCAGGGAAAAGCTGTGCATCCATGATGCATACTTAAAAATTGCAGGGCTGTCCATCCATCTTCTCCCCAAAAACAAAGCATGTACTGTCTAAATAAATTGTATTTTACCAGTTACGTTAGACTTAGCAATACGTTCCCTTATAGAGAATATTAATAACACACAATTTTTGTAATATTACATATAAAAAACTGAGTTGTAGCCTAGTTTTCCATAAGTTGATTTCAGACAGAACTAAGCTGACTAGTCCTGTGACAGATGATTAATCTGTAACAACATGCTCATGGACAATAAAGAGTTGACTGGATTATTTTTTTCATTTTTCAAACCTTAAATCGGTAAATTTAAATTTTAATGGAAGACTGTGTATTACCAGAATGGAAGAAGTTAAAATTTTACCAAGACTCTCTACTAACCTTAAGGATATTTCAATGGTGATATTACGTCTTTCCTGTAGTATTTTAGTTCTACGCAGGTGTGTTTTAGGACGTTTCTTCTGAACCTTATTCAATGATTAGTTTCTGGATTAAAGCATCAGGATTAATAGATATTCTGATATTCTTTTTTTCTTAATACCTTACATCTGCACTGAATTCTGTATTTTAAATTAAAATTCACTCTCAATGAAGTATACTAAATTTACTGTTGTTTTCTGTATAAAGTACATTACTGTCTCTAACTTTATGACAGCATCCTAGAGAAAAGTGAACTTGGGGGCTTTATAAGTGTGATTATGGATGAATTTCCATGATTATTCATCTCTTTGATTGAGGGCTCTAGCAGTGGCATAAACATAGATTATAGTGTATCTCTGTTCTATTTTTGCCCCTGTGAGTAATCTAAGCCAGATCTTTCTGATACTCTGTTTTAGGTTGAAGACTGCATCCTCCCACCGCTAGTTTCTTTGGTCCACAGTCAGAATGGTAAGTACATGGCCACATCAACTACAGTTTCCATGAATTCCACATTTTGTTTTAATTACACTTCAGTGTGGTCACATTCTTGGCACCTTTATTTTCAAGTGGAATGGAGACTCTTCAGCTTGCGGTTGCTCTCAGAAACCACATCAGTGCTTTTAAGCCACGAGGTCATGGCTGAGGAGAAAGGGGAGAGCCTTGACTCAAACAGCAAGCTTCTGTCTCTCATTAGAGATTCATTGCTGCCTCAGTAAGTATAATATTGCTCCTGTAGTGGGGAATAACTTGATACTCAATCCATTTTGACAGTGTATTTGTTTTAACTACTCTTTTTATGTTGAAATGACAAAACAAAAAGAGGAATAGCAATTAACTGCTGCCAGAGTTCTCTGCCCAATATCTCTCTCCTCTGTTCATTGAGTACTTTGTCATATACAACACAAACAGAACTTCTCTGTGACACTCACTGCTGATGCTGTGCCTCTGGCAGCTCTTGGGGTGCAACAAGCTTCCCCTAGCTTTTGAGATGTGATTTAAATACTCCTCTTTGTTCCACTAATGGAGTCAGAACATTCTAGCAACAACCTCTTTTTGTCTATTTTGGATATTGTGCCCTCATGTAAGATGTTCTGAAATCACATGGAATGGCATATAACTTTCTTAAAAGTAGTAGCACAGGATGGATTAGTGCTCCATGATCCACCCAGGGGTTATTGCCTCAAAATTGCTGTCCATTCCT